CGTGCTACCGCTGCAGCGCTGGCTTCGTTCCCGCTGCCCACATCGGGCAAGCCATGTTGCGGAGAACATGGAGCCAGACGGGCCACTTACCCTCCGAGTCATCCAATGCTATGCCACGGCATGCAATGCGATGCTGTGTTTTGCACCACTGTGTGATGCCATGCTTTGCGTTGTTATGATTTGTGATGCAATGCTCGCTACACAATGCCACGCCTTGCTATGATATGCTATGCTCTGCCGTGCTCTTCTACGCCATGCTCTTCCATCCATCGCGTACCCTCTTGGGATCATTGCCCTGCTCGACATCCGACCGTGCGAATAGACAGGAGATCTACGCCATGGTAAGGGATGGGAGGGATGGGTAGGACGGCAGATGTGACGTTAGCGCATCTAGCTTGCCTCCGCCCCTCTTCCTCACTCCCCTCCTCCTCCTCCTCCTCCACCTCCTTCTCCTCCTCCTCCTCCTCCTCCTCGTCACTGGACGGAGGCGCAAGAAAACAGGGACCAACTACGCGAGAGGACAGGTGGTGAGGGAGCAGCGGCGGGCGGGCAGGAGAGGCAGAGGCAGGAAAAGAGCGAAGGGAAGGACGCCGGATGAGAGGTGTGAGGCGAACAGTCATCACAGACGGAACACTATTCGAATAAGTGGTTGGGCGTACGCTGAGCGCGGCGAAGACGAAGCCAACGAAAACCACATAGCAAACAGCAGGCAGGGAAGGATACGACGACGACGAAGCTGACGGCGACGACGCAGAGACCTGCGGGGCAGACAGAAGCAGTAGACACCAAAGGACGAGACACTGAGTGGAGAGCGATGGAAGAGCGGATGACGCTTCACAGCGCGACCACCCAAACTGTAAGCGGTTACCAATGTGCCACCAGAATTCGCAAGGCACTCAGATGCCGCGACAGCGGCGGAACTGAGGGGCTGAAGGAAAACACCACTGATATTAATCAAGGAACACGCAGGGACACGATAAGAAACGAGATGTGACAGGAGGGGCCGAGGAAGGGACCAGAAGAGAGCAGAGCAAGGAAAAAGGACAGCAGGAAGGAATATGAGTGAAGACGGGAGGAGGATGCTTGGAGTGATATGGCTGAGGGGCGCGTTAACCCCACTGGTGGGACCAGAAGCATGGTGTACCACCTTGGTGTGCAACCCGAGGACAGGACATGTCCTACTGCGCGTGCGACGGCTCAGCTTGAACCTCGTGCCTGATGGGGGGCAGTACAGCCAGGGGGACAACATCGAAGACCCCTTTAGGCTCAAGCCGGACCGTGGACGAGACTAAGGATATTCCCCTGGGCTTTCCTGCCGCCGCTGCGACTGGGCCCTGTTGGAGCCAGCTCAGATCTCTGCGGTGGGCTGGGGCAGTGGTCAGATGCCTCAGCGAGTTGTTCCATCAGTGGTGCAAGCTATTGTGTCTAAGCTAATTTCTGTTCAGGAGGAGGAGGGAGGAGGGAGGAAGATGGATTGGAGTAGGAGGGAGGACGAGGAAGGAGGAGGGGGAGGGAGAGGACAGGGGAGAGAGAGGGGCTGGGAGAGGGGGGAGAGCGGGGGGGTAGCAAGGAAGGTGGGGAAGGAAGGAAAGAAGCGGGGAGGGGAGGTCGGGGAAGAGGGGGGAGGGGAGGAGGGGGAGGGCAATCGAGGCAATCTACGTGCGCTCGCGCCAGATTTGGCATCCCTCCCCCTTTACCCCTCCTTTCCGATTGCGCTGTCTTTTCTCTCCATCCGCCGACGGGTGTCATAGCGGACCTGGAGCCCTCAAAAGGGCCCCATCATCTTATGCGCAGTCCTCTCGGGCTCTGCCTTCCAGCCTCGTTGACCACCTCACTGTGCACGCCCTGCACTTGCTGCTCCTCTTCGGCACGCCCGGGATGTACTACACGTTCGGCTCTTTCTTCTCCGCCGCTCCTGTCCTCTCGCGTCCAGTCGTGCCCCAATGTGTTCACGACGCGACCCGCCCGTTGTTTTGACTGGCACCAGCACCGGCCTCGCGCCCACTTGTACCTGCGGACCTAAAAAGTGCCACTCGCAGTCCGGAAAGGTGATCTGCGCACATTGGAGGAGGAAGTGGTGGATGAGGTAGAGAACGAGCAGAGGGAAGCGAATGAGGAGGAGCAAGGAGGCGGACGAGGACGAACAGTAGCAGCAGGAGCTGGAGTGGAAGGAGTAGGAGGAGCAGGACCAGGGGAAGGCGCAGGAGGGGAAAGGAGGGAGCGACAACGATGACGAAATACTCGGGCCCAAAAAAGTGGCCCACGCTGGGGCGAGAGAGCCTTTCTGAACGACGGGAGCAAAGCGCCCGCTGCAGCTGCAGCACAATATTGAAAATACCGGGTGTTGAAAACCCGTGTATACAGACCAGTATTCAGAGGCGAGGCACTCTCAACACGTCTTCGAGTAAGAGAGGAGACTAGCATTCATGTGGTGTACTTGTGGGATGGATGGAGGGAGGGCGGGAGGAGACGGGGACGGAAAGAGAGGTGGGCGCAGGCGCGGGCAGGGGAAAGGGGGGGAAGCGGAGAACGGACCGGAAGTAGGGCTACGGGGAAGGGGAAATCTCCGCCTCCACCTCCTCGTCCTCACCCTCGTGATCCTCCTTCCCCGCTCTGCGTCTCCTTATCAATAAATCCTCCCTGTCGCACCTGCGGACGTGTCGGCAGGGCGGGCCGGGCGCTTCGCCAGAGAACCCCTCACCGTTCATCATCCTGCAGCCTGAAATCTGCAACAGCTTCAGAGATAGGTTCAACATGCGGCTCTTGCCTTTTGCGCCGCGCACGCTCGTATTGAAACGGCGGCTCCTTCTCAAAATGGGGTTGTCGCCCGAACGCCGCGCACATCCGTTTATAAATTTGCAACAATTTCACCGATGGAGGGCGACTCCATTTCAAAATGGGGCTCTCGCTTTGCGCCGCTGCACACTCGTTAAGTTTGCAACATCTCCAAGGATGGAGGACGGGCTGTTATACAAACTTGATCTCGCCCTAGAGATGCGCACATGAATCTCAAACATGTGCAGCAGATGCAGCGGTGGTGGGTAGCTCATTTTCAACTGGGCTTCCGCTTGAGACTTCCACCACAATAAAAACCATAACATTGAACATATGATACAGCTGCATAGCTGGAGGGCGACTCCTTTTTAAAATGGGGCTCTCGCTTGAGACTTCCTCGACGCCCATGGCCAGACTTGTGCAAGAGTTACACAACTGGGGCGGTCCTTCTTCAAAATGGAAATCTCGTTGGACACTCCGTTGGACTGTATGATCATCCCTTTGCGTAGTCCTTTTTACTCACTGGATGGGGTGGGAAACCAATACAAATTTCAAAACTGAACTTTCGCCTGAATGGCATGCCCATAGGCCCATCGGGTTTGGGTCATTCAAGAGGACGCTTCTTGAAGTGAAGAGGAAGGTTTGGAGTGGCTTCTGAGGATGGGGCTCAGGAAGGGATGGTTTATTACACTCTTGTTGATGCATATTGGGTTTAGTCAGGTCCCCTTCCTCCTTCTCAGCCACATAATCGTCATGCGCATGATCCTCCTGCTCAAACAAATCTTGCTACTCCTCCTACCTCCTATTCCTTGCTTATCCTCCCCATCCCCCTTGTCCTCCATCATTGTCCCTCTATCCTCCTCCACCCTGCTGGCGCTATCTTTTCTCTGACTCTCCGAAGAGAACAGTCCGCGCAGAAGACAAGCCGCGCTGGCATGCCGCCCGACTCCTATCAACTGGTGCGGGTGAGACGAGGCCGAGGACGATGGGGACGATGCGGGATGCGATCCTCCTCGTCCTCGAAGGGGGGGGCTACCTGAGGGGGAGGGGGTAGGAAATCAGCTGCATGCAGCTGGCTTTCCACGGCGCCTCCCAGCGCTCGGGGCGGCTGCGCATCGAGGAGAGTGCACGGCGGCGAGGCCGAAACTGGACACACGCAGCAGATCTCGCACCACCCCTCTTCCACGACCCCCCCCCCCCCGTTCGTCGTCTCCGGAAGCAGGAAAGGGGGAATGGAGGTGGAGAAGGCGGGCTGCCGTGAAAATGCTCGAGCCTCTTGGCGGGAGATCCTGCGCCGAGCGTCTGTATCTACAAGGCCAGCTGGCCCAGCCGGAGGCCGCTCGAAAAGCCTCCCACCCGTCGCAGATGAGTTCGTGATCACCGCGCTAACCATCTCGGCTATGTCCCCTCCGCCTCCACCCTCCCTCCCTCCCTCCCTCGCCCCCTCTCTCACTCCTCGTCTTCCTCGTCCATCTCCTCCTCCTCCTTCCCCTCCTCCCCCTGCTCATGCTCCTCATCCTTCTTCGTCTCCTCCTTGTCGTCGTCGTCGTCGTCATCCTCGTCGTCATCATCATCATCATCATCATCATCACCACCACCACCACCACCACCATCATCATCATCATCATCACCACCACCACCACCACCACCATCATCATCATCATCATCACCATCACCATCACCATCACCATCATCATCATCATCATCATCAGCAGCATCAGCATCAGCATCAGCATCAGCATCAGCATCAGCATCATCATCATCACCATCACCATCATCATCATCATCACCATCACCATCACCATCACCATCATCATCATCAACATCATCATCACCGTCACCATCATCATAATTATCTTCACCATCATCATCATCAACAACATCAACATCATCATCATCACCATCATCGTCATAAACATCATCATCACATCACCAGCATCACCATCATCATGAGGTCATCATCATCATCATCATCATCATCATCATCATCATCATCATCATCATCATCATCATCATCATCATCATCATCATCATCATTATCGTCACCATCATCATCATCGCCATCGTCATCATCATCATCATCATCATCATCATCATCATCATCGTCGTCGTCGTCGTCGTCAACACCATCACCATCAACATCCTCATCTTCAAAATAATTAGCATCTCCGTTCCAGACGCCAACAAGCAAAAATCGTATGGTGGGGTTGCACAGCCGGGAGGCCTCAAGTCTTGTAGTGCTCGTAGTCCATAAACCTCATCTGCTCCTTTACGCAATCGGCAACTACACACAATCACCATGGACCATGCCTGGCCAGGGCCATCCTGCGCCCTGGTATGGTGTATACTAGCGACCGCTGATGAGCAGCAGTATGCATCAACAGCCGGGAGAGAGCGATTCCTGCTGAAACTGACTCTCGCGAATAACACACCTGCCCTCCTGACCCGTCTGCGCACCGTTCTGGATGGCCGCGGATGCCCCCCCCCCCCCCCCAGACACTCGACGGCACGATGTGCGTCAGTCCGCGGCCCCAGATCTCACAGTCCCTTCCCCGGGGTCAGCATTCCATCCTGGATCCATTCTTGATTGTTCCTTGGGCGTCGCCTACTGGGAGGCGATAAATGGGGGCGGGGGGGGTGGGAGAGAGGTGCATTTCTCGGGCCCGAAGACCCTAAAGGGCGCTCCTTAGGACCCTACAGGGCCCCTTTTCTGCAGCCCTCGCTGATCCACCCCCCACCATTTATCGCACCCCCATTATATGCGCTCCAGGGCTCGACAGCAGTGCCAGGACTGAAGAAGGGCATCCCTCGGATGTATGGCCCTGGCCAATCACGGTGGTGGTGTGCCTGCTGCGGATCCTTGAGCTTCTCGCCGCTGACTACCACGCCCACGGCCAGCACCTGCACGAAGGCCCGGGCAGACAGGGACTTTTGGCAAACCACGACGTTGGCACGCCCACCGTCAGAACTGCATCCAAAGGAACAAAAAAACGCTTTCCACTCTACGGGAACGGCGCCCATGCACCGTAATTACCATGTCTGGACTCCGTTGATGCCCCGCGCGGACGCGGTACGGTGCGTAGTTCTGCAGGCGTCGAAGGCCGAAGAGTCATGCACCGCACCATTCCCTGGGTCGAGGATCGACGACGCCTCGGAGGACGCCAGCGCGGTGCAGCCGTCGCGCCAGCAGGAAGAACGCACCATCAGGAACGAGTGGCTGTGTTGTTGGCGACGGTGGGCCTACGACCACACACGGGCTCCACTGCATGAGTCCGAGGAGCGGCCCGACAACCGGAGCCCCCCCCGAACCCAAAGCGGTCCTTCCTGCAGCGACTCGACCTTACGGCGCACACACGCCGCCTACCACCACTTGTCGCTTTCTCGGGAGCGGCCAAAAGGGGGGTGTCCAAGAAGGGGGGGTGCAAATCATGACCGGCGGCATGTGCGCGGCCCAGCGGGGGGGCCAGGGACGTAATGAAATTAGAAGAGGCGCCATGAAATCTGGGGAAATATCATGGCCCCCGCCATGATATCTACCCCCCCCTAGTCATCACCCCCCTCTTTTCCGCCCCCGACTTTCCCCCGCTGGATACCGCAGAGTCCTGGTTCCGGGGATGCGCTCACCTGGGCCGGGGCTGACCAAGGTCAGCCAGGGGCACGTTGCGAACACGGGCCGGCGACGCAGTACCTCGTAACCCTGGGCCAGCGGTCAGCGGAGGGAGGTGGGGGGGGGAGAGGGTAGGGCCGGACCTAGGACAGAAGGGCACTGTTCAAAAAAATGAGGCCCTCCGCCGACCACATTGAAGAACAATCGACGGCACCCTCCCCTAGGATGCACAAGAACGTCCAACGAACACGATGAACCCACGTGTCCCCGCTTCCTCCTGGCACGTGCGCCTCGATGGTTTGTGGTCGAACAAGGAGAATAGTCCCCAGGAGAGGACTGGCCGACTGGCGGCCTGCGCGGAGAGACCGTGGCCGCTCACCCGATCAGCCTCAGATCTCCTTCGTCGTGCTACCCAGGGGCACTCCACACCACCCTCCCGAAACGAAGCCACCCTCCGAATCTGGCAGAACCCTGGCTCACGCTGGCCCGGTTTGCTCCCAGGAGCCCCCGCCTGCAGAAACAGCCACAGCGGCGCTGGGCCCAGGTCCAGGCGGTCCAGGGCGAACGCCCCGGCACCCACGGCGGCGATCGCCTTCTGAGCCATCTCGGATGCACTCCTGGAGGGAGAAAAGACAGTACACATTGTCTACTCATGACCTCTCGGAGCTCCGCGCGGACTCCTTGGGTCGGCGCTGGACCCGTGTCGCCCCTGGCGCGCGAAACGCAATCCGAAGGCAAAGGCCGAAGACAGATTCGGATGGAGACGAGTCTGGAAGATGCGAAGAATGTGCCGATCTATATTGCAATCCTCTGTCGTGCATGGTAGTCCCGGGAGCATTTTCCCTGGGAGAAAAAAAAAACATTATCCAGCCCGCCCAACGATAGAGGGATATGAATATCCGCCGCGGCGACGACAACGCTTACGACTACAATCGCGACTACAATCACGATTACAATCACGAACATAACCACGACTAAAATCACGACTACAACCGCAACCGCTGATTCCGATTGGAATCCTCATGAGAAGATGCTCCCAAATCCTGTCGCGTGTAAGGTGGCCCTCAATGGATAATCCCCTGGGAGAAAAACTAAGATTACCCTGCCCGCCCAGTAGT